CACGACCCCCCCTCAACCCCTCCCTTCTACACGTATATGCCTTCAGAACATCAGTTAAACCGTTGTCAATCCATGTTACATTATTTACACGTTACATATGTACATACATACATACAATACCGCCGTTTACTTTCTACTCAACCCCTGGCTGGTGAAGGTGCTGCAAACAAAGCATGCAGCAATCACATCCGTTCTCTCTAAGCAAGTCCGATACCAAGAGAGACAGCTATAGCGTTGAGTTGGTGACCATGACGAACGCCTCTACCGCGCCTAAACGCGAGAAACCAACACTACAACACACCGCGACATATAGATACGTACCCTCCCCACTCACGCCTGAGCGTGCCCGCCCAACCATTTCCTCAAAAAATTCATCGTGTTGCGCAAAATCCACAGCCGTAGCTGCTCCTTCCGGGAGGCTCTCTTGCTCGTCCACGTGTTGAAGGCTTCCCTGGTCGCTGCCATCGACTTCTTGCGCACTTCCTGCGCAGCCGCAAGCGCCTTCGCCTCGGCTGCCTTCTGCTGCTCCGGGGTCTTCCCCGCCCCCCTCGCCTGAATCACGGCATCTCCCCTGGCGGTGGCTTCTCGGTGCTTCCCCCACTCCTTGAGATCGCGGTACTCGAGGTAGTCCTCCAGGCCCTCGTCGTAGGCTTCGATGTACAGCCACGTCACCCTGCTCCATGCGCGGATAAACCGTGCGGGTACGCCGTTCAACGCGCCGGGCAAGACCTGGAGCATGTGGCGAAGGGAATACTCGCAGTGGAGGCGGAGGAGGTGCTTGATGTACCCCCAGTATCGCTCGATTGCGTTGAGCTCTGGGTGGTACTTCGGCAAAAAGATGCACAGGTGCCCGTGTGCCTTGAAGAGCTTCTCAACCATGTTGAGCTCCTCCCTGAACGCCTTGAGCTCAGACAGAACGCGCACGACGCAGCAGCGACTCCTCTTGCCTGCTTCACCAGCTGCCCCGCTCCAACCCGAGTCCCCGTCCTCTCCGCCGTCCTCCTCTCCCTGCCCGGTGTTGTCCACGACCTGCTGCCGCCCCTCTCCACCGCGGTTGAAGGCGGTAATGGCTTGCCTTGTTGCCGCCTTTTCCGCCCTGCACGCGCTGCACTCGTGAACGCGTAGGGTTGGCTCGCCTTCCCACAGCCCCATCTCCATGAGCAGCTGCTTTCCTCCTTTCGGCAGGCCGATGAGAACGGAGGTGGGGCCAGTCGTCGTCGTGGTCGTTGGTGTGCATGGGAGAAATATTGGCGCCTTCATGGTCGGAAGAGGGAGGAGAGTCGTTGCCTACAGCAGGGTCCGCAGGGGGCGAAGGGGCCTTCCGAATCGTGCCGTCGGCGTTCCTTGGCAGCTTGCGCTTACCCTTTGGGCGACCCATGTGCCCGGAGCGCGTGTGCGTCTTTCGTTGCGTGCGTAAAGGGTGTGTGTGTGTGTGTCCTCTGGTGTGTGTGTGGCGGGAAAAAATTCCCCGAGGGCGTGTGAAACCACCCGAAATATCTCCGAAACCCGAGTTTTTTTTGGAAATCGGAAAAAAATCATCGGTGGGAAATCACGAGAGGAATCGATTGCAGCACTTTATTTTTGAATCGTACGGTTGGATTGTTCCTGAGAAACTAAGCAAAATACCCTCCAATATCCGGATTTTTGCCCATAACTCCGTTACTTTTTGTCAAATTGGAAATCGGAAAAAACTTATCGGTGGCAAATCACGAGAGCTGTCCAAATCCGGTCTCAGATTTTGTGTCTGCAAAAAACACCGCCCTCCAGAAAGTAAGCAAGACTTCTTGAATATCTGAACATATCGAGCGAAGGACGAAAAAAAAAAATCTTCGTACGAAGATGCGCCTTGAAATGTCGATTTACGCGGTATTTTCAGATTTCGGAATAAGTACCCCCACCCCGAGAAAAGTGCACCTTTGTGCAGGGGAAAATATTGTGAATATTTGCCCGAACGGACCATAGTTTGGGGGGAAGATACAACTGTAGTGCAGTGGTATTATTTTTTGTTTTCTTGCAGTGCGTTTCCTGTCGTGTTTCTTTTTCTGTTTTTGTCTTTTGTATCTTGCAACATCGAAGGAGGGGCTCTAGGGCTGAGATATAGCTACGTCCACTCTGTACGAATGGGAGCTTTACAAGCATCTTGCCGTCAACAGCAGTTTCGACAGTTCAGGGTGTGCAGTAAAGTTCATGTGCTGAGGCAGGCAGAAAATTACGGTGCAACATGCAAGTAAATATTTTTTACAACTCGCCCTCTGTGTGTGCGACAGGGGGGAACCATACTTGTCGCTAGAAAGGATGCCTACGCCCACGATAGACCTTCACTAAGTTTGATCCATTTCGTACTCTGTTAGCCCCGCAACGCATGAGCGCCACAGCATGAAATCAAACATCTCCTCAATAGTGCCGGTCCGGCACTATTGAGGGATATTCGAAACCTCAATAGTGCCGAATTGGCACTATTTTGAGGCACTATTCTGATAAGTGCCGGTGCCCTCAATAGTGCCGATATTATCTCTGGGCACATACCGGCACTATAGCGGGCCCAGTGCTGTATTGATTTTGCCTCCGCAAGATTCACCGTTCGAATAGCTGACATGGCGACTCGCCGGGGAAATCGCGATGCCGGACGGCTCATACTCACGAACGCGACCCCGTTCTTGTGGAAGAGGAGCCTGAAGACTCCGAAAGGCATGAAAGGCATGGGGCTTTGGTCTTTTCCCGAAGAGGTCGACCCTGGAGAAAGCGTGGAAGTCGGGATTGCTTTCTCCAGAAAGAGCCAACGCGCACGGACCATCCAGTTACCAGGTATCAGCGAAACCTTGACTTTTTTTTTTTCTCCCATTTTTTTTTGTCTACACGTGAGTTATTATTTAAAACAACAACATTTTCGCACGATTGAGAGCGAAGTATCTGATTGAGAGCGAGATCGTGCGATACGATGTAGCTTGTCTACTGCTGAGAGGTAGAGCTTGCTGTGCGGCTTGAATTGAAGGGCTTGCCCATAGCTACAAGCCGATACCCGGGTCATCCTGCGGGTGTCTCGCGTTGTGGAGCTACATCGCGGAGCAGAAGCTAAGGGAGGGCCTAGCGCGCCAGGCGATGGCGCCCTGAAACAGTTTCGGGCAGGAATAGCCAATCTGGGGAAATCTAGCAACGTGCGTAGCTCCTCGCTGCTGCAGCCGATCGCAGTGACACGCATATGCACGCGAAGCTGCTGAAGAGAGCTTCAATTTGCGCCGCTTTTTGGAAGAGCCCGTCCCCTGCTTCCCGAGAAATGACGGGAGGCGTCTGGACCCGAATTTCGAATTTTTTTGGTTCTCGCTTTCAATCGGAAACTTCGCTCTCAATCGTGCGAAAACCTTGTTAAACTCAGATTTGGGGCGGGAGGATGATTTTGGTCCATTCAGCAATGTGCCCAAAATATGACTGTGCCCCAGCCATATTTTTTGAAAAATATCAAAATGCTTGCGACTGACTTGGGCCCTCCAAAACTCCGACAGGTACGAACAAACTCCTTCGTGTGTGGCCGAAGATGGACTGCGCCTTTGTACAAGCCCAACATGCCACCATGCACAACATACTGCTGCTGCCGTTCACCTGTCGCCGCCGTTCCACGTCTACCTGTCCATGACACATGCTGCCACTTGATGCGACAACATCTGGGAACAACACGAACACAGGGAGTACTCCCACTACCCATACACAACACCGTCAAAACTGATTGTAAGCTAGAACAACCTCTCATTCCTCTCCACATACTTTTATTTGCTTTTTGTCTTTTTGTCTTTTTCTCTCTTTTCTGTGCCAGATGGCCTCGTCTCTGCTTGCGTTGCGATGTACCAAGATTGAACCAAGGGGGTGTACCTCATTCTCTCCGGCCCGTGATGGTGACTGCTAGTCCCAGTTGCTATCTCGTATAGCGCGCAGAGGGAGTGGAGGACTCCAGAATATCTGTCGTTGATTTCTATTGACTTGCGGACCCCTCGGGTCAATTTTATTTTGAGTGTACCTTTTTAGCGTAAGTCAACCTGCGACCACGGGAATCCACCGCGTCGAGTGTTGGATCATTGCGGACATACGAAGGTACTGGGTAGAGGGAGATCGGAACGGTTTTTAATGTGAAGACAACAACAACAACAACAACAACATACAAATGATGTAGATGCATTAAATGATGCACTGCCTTTACTTATGGTCCGCGCTGCCTACAAAAAAATGGGAAAGGTAGCTATACCTTCTGCCGACACACGGGCGAGAGAGGCGACCATGTTGTTGTTGTCTTCACATTAAACCGTATGTCAGTTGTCAAATGCCAAAATCTAGCAAAAGACTCTCAGCCCGTGGTCACGAAAGTGCTAGAGCCATCTGAGGATCTAAAGAACACGCACACATATAACGAGAAAAAGGTATCCAAGAGCCCGAAGAGGTACACCTAAAAATCCCTGCAGTACCGTATGCGTGCCCAAAAACTGAACTGCACGTCCGTCCCACCGTTCGACTACAGTAGCATCACCCCCTCCCTGTCCCACTCTATACCAAAACGGAAGATTGCCGACTACAGCATACATGCTGTCTGAAGTGCTGTCTGTACAAAAACACCATGGTAGGCATGGAACAAGCACAGCTGGCGGGGCACAAAGCTGCTGTCTGAAGTGCTGTCAGAATGTGTCTGCGGCCGTACAGTGAAAAAGAACAACCAACCAAAGCCATCATAGCAGCAATTAATTGACAATCACCCGAATCTCTCCCGATCGTCTGTGTAGGCACTGCAGTGAAAAATATCGACACTAGCTAAGAATCGTTCCACATTGAAGGGGTCTTCCACGATCAGGCACAAAACCAATGCACCCGGGTTAGCCACGCCATCTCTGACGGGTCTCTCTACAAAACCGGTGACGATGTCATCACACAAAACCAACACGGAAAGTCAGAAAAAAAACGAAAAAAATTGACAACACAGATAGAAATGTTTGTCCGTGCGCCACGGGTCGATGTCGCCCGCATGCTCCGGTGCCACTGCTCCATCCGGCGCCGCTGTAGTCAGCCCGAGCAAAACGCCACTCGACCTGCTCCGTCCGTACACGCTCTCGTTGCTGTCCTTCCCAGTCCGTTCCTCGCTTTCTCCCTCATTGCACTCAAGGTTCTTGGTCTGAAAAAAATAAAAATTCTCGCGCCGAATGGTCAACCAGCCTAGTTCAGCTCGTCGCCACCTGCTCCCTCCTCCTTTGATGGCGAAGCCAGGTTACTGAGGCAATACAGCTCCCTCTAGCAAGCCTAGGGCCGTGTAGTGCCCGTCCACCTTTCTGATGATGGTGTCTGCCTCCGCGCACAAAAATGAGATGGGCATCACTACCTACGCCGACGGCCAGAAGGCCCAGCCAATCTACATTTTCCCGCCTGACCCCATCAGTGCCGACCCAACTCCACCACCACACGCACGCCTCGCGGCGGATGCGCAGCAGCAAGAAGGTTTCGGTCATCCCTTGAGGGTGAGTCTAGCCCTGCTCGCCAGAAAGACCCCCCCCTTCGCTACAACCCATGTCTGAGCAAAAGCTTGTCGAGGAGCGAGGAAGAAGGCTGCATTTATTTAACACACACCCACATGCTAGTGATGAAACCCCAACCACACGCCTCTATCGGCGGCCACGTCAGGAGGCAATGTTGAGATAATGTTCTCCCGTGCCCTTCTCACATTGAACGACATGCCATTAGTCTACACAACAAGGTAAATATGTTCTTCCGCGCCGCACATGCCCCCATACATCACACAAAAAAATAAGTTGATGACGAAAATATACACACACCCCGAGATGCGCTTGCTCCGCAACCACATAATAAGGGTGTTACTTTTGAAGTATAATAGAGTCCCCTAAATCTTGCGTCTACAATTTCCCAACATAACATACAGATAGATACACAAGATGGCTACCAAACTGCCTTGTTGAGCCTGTTTCCCACAGGGGAGTTATCGTTGTATGCTGTCTAGGAAACCGTAGACATACAGGCAGCCTTTCGCTCGCACTATGGATTCATTGCTAATCTATCTTAGGCGGTTTCTTACGGTTTGAAAAATTCCCGTTTAAAAATTGAAATTTTCAATTCCCAGCCGAACAGAGCTTCTTACGGTTTGGAAAATCGATTTTTTCGAGGAACAAATTTTCAACTCGGGCCGAAAAAAATTGGAAACGCTCTGCGCAGTTGAAAATTTCAGAATNAATTCCCAGCCGAACAGAGCTTCTTACGGTTTGGAAAATCGATTTTTTCGAGGAACAAATTTTCAACTCGGGCCGAAAAAAATTGGAAACGCTCTGCGCAGTTGAAAATTTCAGAATTTTTCAACTCGCGACCGAGTTGAAAAAGCTAGTTGGAAATCCAAACCTAGGGGGGGGGCGTGCATCGCTCAGACCCCCCACCACACCTGCTTTGGTCGCTGGAAGCACCCAACAGTGCACAACAGCGCACCACAAAGCAGCACAGCACAGCACAGCACAGCACAGCGCGTGACAGCCTAGCACAGCGCCCCACACGCGCAGACCCGGTGCTTGGTTGTCAGCACGGTGCGCCCGATATGGGGACCGGCGACGATCAACTGGAAGCAACAGCAGTGCTGTCAGTCGCGTTGGCGGCTTTGCACCAGATCCAAGAAGAGGAGGATGGTTGCCGGCGCACAGCACGCTCGGTATCCCATTGGGATGCTGTGCTGTTCGACGAGGATTCGGAGGACGAGGAGGAAGTCGTCGGCCCGAAGGTTAAGAGGACACGACGCGTCACGGAGCGGAGGGATTGGCGTACCTCTGCCTGGTGGGAGCAGCTTCAGGATGTCGACCTCGCCGACCACACTACGGCCGCTGCAAGTGTTTCGAGGACGCTTTCCTGTACCTTACCCCTTCTTTCAAGAACTGGTCAAGCTGTCAAGGGAGAAGCGGTGGTTTTCGCCGGGGGAGAAGGATGCAGCTAACCGCGAAGGAATACCACTCGAACTGAAGGTACGCACGTCTACCCGTTTGTGCGAACCTCCTACTGCACTCCTGTCGCCTGACGTAAAGAGTAGTCTAGACTAGTAGAACAAGGAGGGTCTCATGTCTACGGCAGCAACACTGTAGCTGGGGTTAGTAGACGGAACGCCTACGTGCTATAGTACCCAAACGCTTCTACATGCGGTAGACAAGGCAAGACTAGGCAGATCAAGCCTCGCGCCTTCCTTTAGACTAGTCTATGCTGAAACTCTGCAGTTTCAGGTGTCTGTGTGCCAACAGAAACACCAAAATCTCNTGTGTGCCAACAGAAACACCAAAATCTCTGTATTGACCGCATCAGAGCTTCGGATGTGCCGGGGAGGTTCGTTCTTAGATTTCCTGTTTTATTTTCTGGTATTGTACTTCATGAACATCCTACAGTGTCCGTTCCACGTTAAGTTCGTCGTACATAGTCTAGTGCCCCCCC